ATATATATATATATATATGTGTGTGTGTGTGTGTGTGTGTGTGTGTGTGTGTGTGTGTGTGTGTGTGTTTAATTGTTCTTTTAGCTACTTTTGCCTGAACCTAACACTGTAAGTGAAACAAGGCATTTCTTGAGTTGCTGTAAATTAAAATATACATATTTATTGTCTCATTCCAGAAAACAACAACAAACAACAACATCCTTCATGATGGACAGACATCATGGACACCACAGCAGCAGCTGTCTTCACTGAAAACATCCTTAAATGATCATCACTGACATGAGGCCTCTGTCGATGGTTGAAGACGAAGGCTTCACTACAATAATCCACACTTTTAATCCAGGTTACACTCTTCCCTCAATGACACATTTTACAAAGTAGCTAAATATTGTGCAGGTATAAAGATACATTTGTATATATTTTTGTGTACATTTATTTTTTTAAGCTATTTGACTAACTTTTATTTTTATTATTCAATATTTTACTAACAAAATGGTCAAATAGCAACCTGTTTTTTGTGTGAATTGCTATGTCAGTCAAATGTTCAATTTTGGAATAAAGGGGTGGAAATAAAAACGTTTTTTTTTTTTTTTGCCGATTCATCGATTAATCGAAAAAATGATCGGCCGATGAATCGATTATTGAAATAATCGTTAGTTGCAGCCCTAATCCAGTTTGAGATTTTAATGGTCTGACAACTTTGAGCAACAACACCATGGTTTCAATGATTATTTTATAGTAGCAGTAGTTATTTAAATTTATTGATAAAAAGACAGAGAAAACAGGTGAACGTGTTGACATGTCGCTCTAAATTAATGTCAGCTCATTCATGCATTTTAAACCAACATGAGTTCATCACTTTGATTTATAGCATTTTTATTTACAATCATATTTAGGATAAAGGCTAAGACTTTCAATAAAAGTTGAACTTGCTGCACAGGGACAAAATATTGACCAAATGATTTCAGCCGTGCTGCAAATAGGAACAAAAGTATAGAAATGAATAAATCAAATAAAATCGACTGTAAAATTTAAACACGAGATGTAAATTGTGTTTTCTTCTCAATAAAAGTGTTTGTTACACTTTAAAATGATAATCACAATCAACAGCAGGTTGTATTTTGGCCACTACGGTATGTTGTCCTGTCTGTAACTATGTTTACATGTGCAAAATTATTTGACCGGAATGAAATGTTTTCAGATTAAATAATCCAAATCTATCATTTACATGGGCACAATCCGTTCAAGACGAGTGTTTACATGCAGCGGGCTTTGTTCTGAACAGAAGTACTGACATGCGCAGAGTGGTAAACTCTCCTAAAAAAAAAAAACAGAAGAAGTTCTACTTCCGTGATGAACGTAAACAAACCTGAGCACCCAAAATGGACCTGTGACAGGTTTTAATGATGGTGGAGACGTTACTGCACTCCCTGACTGAGCTACAGGTAATACAGATCATTCTGAGCACTTTCAAAGTTTCTAGTAGAAATGTTGTCACTCACCGACCAGTTTTGTTTCCCAGACATGCTAATATTATTAGCATTAGCCAGGCAGAAATGACATAGGTTGCAAATGCGCAGTCAGGTCAGTTTTTCACGATTGGAAAAAAATGATCAGATTAAGTGTTTACATACACACCATTCAGATTATGAATCGGCGTAAATCACCCATTTCGTTCTGATTACCAGTTCTTTCAGATCGAGCTGGATCAACAAAAAATTATCCCAATGGGGCGTTAACATGACACATTTTTGTTCCGAATGGTCATTTAATCTGGTTACTTATATCCATGTAAACAGAGCTAGTGTGACGTCACGTGAAGAGAAGACCCTAGCAGACCCTGCGGAATCATTTCAGGAGCAAGAGTTCCCCACATTATACTCCTGTTGACAAACTATTACACAGCAACGCAGCAATCTGTAACAATGGCCCAGACAAACAAAGACCTTATTTGACCTTCAGTGTTTCCCCTGGGCAGCACGGTGGCGCAACTGGTAGAGCTGCTGCCTCTCAGTGAGCAGGTCCTTGGTTCAAACCCCGGTCCGGGGGCCTTTCTGGGTGGAGTTTGCATGTTCTCTCCGTGCATGTGTGGGTTTTCTCCGGGTGCTCCGGTTTCCTCCCACAGACCAAAAACATGCATGTTAGGCTGATTGGTAACTCTAAATTGTCCCTAAGTGTGAGCGAGAGTGTGAATGATTGTTTGTCCACAAAAAAGGTGTACCTTTAAGACCAATCGTTAGTATGATTAACTCTGTCACTTACAATGTTTCCAAATATCTGGCGTCTGTACTCATCCCTTTAGTTGGCAGCTCAGAACACCACATACAGAACACCATGGACTTTGTGGATAAGGTGAGGGATGTCATCATGGAGACTGATGAAACAATGGTCTCTTTTGACGTCACATCACTCTTTACGTGCATTCCTGTTGATGATGCAGTAGAGGTGGTCAGTTTAAAATTAAAATCAGACACCACTCTGAGCAGCAGGACCACACTTTCCACAGAACAACTGTGTCAACTCTTGAAACTGTGCCTGCAGTCAACCTACTTCACATATGGGGAGCAATATTATAGGCAGAAACATGGGTGTGCTATGGGGTCTCCAGTTTCTCCTATTGTTGCCAACCTGTACATGGAGGAGGTAGAAAAGAGAGCCTTGATGTCCTTTTCAGGGACACCACCAAGTCATTGGTTCAGGTATGTTGACGACACCTGGGTTAAAATTAAATCTCAGGAAGTCCAACATTTTACTGACCACATCAACTCTGTGGATAAATACATCAAGTTCACACGAGAAGATGTAAAAAATGGCAAGTTGGCTTTCTTGGACTGTGAGGTCTCAGTCTCTGATAGAGGACATTTGCAAACTGAGGTGTACCGCAAACCCACACACACAGACCAGTATTTGCAGTTTGACTCCCATCACCCTTTGGAGCACAAGTTAGGAGTCATCAGGACTCTGTATCACAGAGCAGACAGCGTCCCCACTAGCTCAGGAGCCAGGCAGAAGGAGAAATCCCACACAAGACAGGCTCTAGAGCAATGTGGATATCCTAACTGGGCCTTCCTGAAAGCAGAGAAGAAACCCAAACAGGACTCCAGTCAGCCAACAGGTGAAAAGGAGGAACCCAGACCCAGACCAGTGGTCATTCCATATGTTGAGGGCGTATCAGAGAAACTGAGATGTTTATTTTCTAAACATAACGTCCCAGTGGCTTTTAAACCCCAAAATACATTATGGCAAAGACTGGATCATCCCAAAGATCCAGTCCCCCGGCACAAACAGAGCAACGTTGTGTATGCTGTTCAGTGTCAGGAGGGCTGTGATCAGTCTTACATCGGGGAAACAAAACAGCCACTGGCCAAAAGGATGGCCCAGCACAGAAGATCAACATCATCAGGCCAGGACTCTGCGGTCTACACTCATCTCCAGGCCAGCGGTCACTCTTTCAGGGATGAAGATGTTCACACCCTGGATAGAGAGGAACGATGGTTTGAGAGAGGAGTAAAGGAGGCCATCTTTGTGAAAAGAAATCGTCCATCATTAAACAGGGGTGGAGGCCTCCGGGTTCAACTGTCCCCCTCTTACAATGCTGTGATTGCTAGTATCACTCAGCCCTCTGTGAACAGTAAACAGCCATCAGTGTGCTAATGATCCATTGTTATGCTGATGGTCCTTCTTGAGCATGTGATCAGCTGGTTTTGGTTGTCAGCAGCAAAACTGGTTGATCCACCCTGAGACGGTGCTATTTAAGAGACTGAGCTGAAAACAGCACCTCAGACTGAGGAAGTCTCTCGGATGAGAGACGAAACGTTTCTACATTTTTTGTTGATTTGCTTTGTTTTGTTTTTTTTGAATGTCCAGAGGACCAGATTTAACTTTTTTAGATTTTTCTACCTGGATTATTGAGCATGCATCAGAACATCAGATAAAGTTCTTATCTTGTTAACTGATGTCCTGCCTAAAGGTTATCCATCCATAGTATCTTATCAGCAGTCACATCAGTCATAGAGACCAGGCTAATGTAAATAAATTATTGTTTACTTCTAGAGGCAATGTGACCTACTTCCTGGACATTTATATATTTATCAGCAACATTTTTTTATTGCTCAGATGAAATGATACATGTTAGCTGGCCACTAGGTGACAGTAGACTCTAACTGTTGAGGGCGAGGGCCACAGAAGATGAGTTTTCTATTCTGAATTATACACTTGAGTAACTGTAGACTAACACAACATGTCTGTTTTGCAAAAAAAGAGCTTTATGGTCTGAATTTACTTCAAACACAAGTAAATATAAACTGCCCTGTTTCACACACACACACACACACACACACACACACACACACACACACACACACACGTTGTGTTTAATAAGTTCATCATCTGACATCTGGCTCATCCAGATCCAAATTTGTTATTACATGTTGGGAGTCACCTGATAGCAGTAGTAACACACCCCTTTTAGCACTCCCACTTCCTGCACCCCAACACCTGCTGCTGGTACCCCCTGCTCCTGCACGGCTGTTTCCAGCCACAGAAGTCTGACGTCAGGATCCTCATCTGAGAACTGGAGCAGAGACCCTGAGCTCCGCAACACCCTCAAGCACTGCTTCAGTACCAGGGTGGCCTTCCCCACCCCCTCCTTGGACCTCAACAAGGCATCTGTGGTGCCCTTGTCAACAATGAGGTCCAGACTGTTGGAACCAAAGCGTTTGTCCAGTTGTGTGCAGTCCAGCTCCACAAAGTCAATCTGAGAAGAAGGATTGTCAGGTCTGAAGGCTTCAACTCGAACATGTTCCTGCATAAGCCTCACAGCTACGGGGGAAATGTCAGCACATGTGACCCGGACTGGGAGGGCAGACTCTCTGTAAATGGACGGGCCTAAAGCCGATGTTCCACAGCCCATATCCAACACCTGGAGCAGGGCGTCTGGATGGGACCTGGTCTGCAAGAGGGGCAGAATGAAGTCTCGCACAGAACTGAATCCACAGAACCACTCAAAGTTTTTAAAGGCTGGGGTCCTGCTGCTGGCCTCTGTGTAGAACCGGTCCCAGGTTGATTTCTTATCCATGTTTTCAATCAGCTCAGCTGCAGAAATTGAAGGAAGAGGATTAGTAGTTAAACAGACATGACGTAGTGCCACTGACACAGACCTGTCATTTACTGAAGGACTTTAATAAACCATCACTGAAGTCCTTAGAAAACACACCTACATTACACCTGAAGATCAAGTCACTTTTATTGTATTTTTCCAAATAAAACTTTTTTTCTATGTACATATAAATAATACTGCAGCTTAGTGTTTTTTGGTCACTTGTGTTGAATTTCATTGTTATACTGACTGGTGTTTTAAGTTTAATAATTTAAACTATAGAACTGTCAAACTATAGTCCTAAATTAGTAATTAAATATATTTTTAAGCAAGTTTTAGTTTTAGCTTGCAGTCTAAAACAACAGGTTTTAAATAAACACTTAAATGTATCTAATACACTCAAATCACTTCACTGTATCAGAGCTAGCATAGCTATTAATGTCAATAGCAAAGCCACGCGCTTCACAGCTTAACAAACTACATAAGGCTTCAAAGCCGAACTTTCTCGCGATAACTCTACTTTTAGTTGTACCTGTTACAGATGAATGGTGTCGTCCAGTCCCAGCGAATATCCGTCTACCTGTCAAAGTCAGAAACTTTGTCATCTTGGCGTTTAATCTCATGCTACACTCACCTCTCACTCCGACCGTATTTTTTAAACACAGCGGTTGAGTAAAATGTGAAGGAGAAAGCATCTTACACTCAATATACAATCTTCGGTTATTTTGTAACTGGTCAGTTGTGCACTCTACTAATGCGCATGCGTGAAATAGGGCACCAGGCGAGAAGGGGTTCTCTGCAGACCAAAAGTGGGCGTTTCTGGCGAATAGGCGTTTATGGGCGGCGAACACTGATTGGTCAACAGTATTTAATAGGCGTTTGTCGGCGGCGAACACTGATTGGCTGTGGGTAACCCTCAAAGTTACGAGTCATTGATGAGGTAACGTTTCTTTGCGATGTTTGACAAAGAAATATGATTTATTGTACTTATAAAGTATGTTATGTTTTCACTTATGCATTTTATTGAAGTACGTTTATTGTAGGTCACGATAGTTTCGACCGTTCTCTCGTTGTTGTCGTAACGCACTGAGGTAAAGTGAGCCTCTACTCGACTCCGGCAGCTCTCACTGTGCACGTTTACAACAACTGGGTGTTGCTTTTCAAAATAAAAGCTGAAAATAAAAGTTCTTAATACTTGAAAAATAAATATTTAAAAGCTGTGTATAACTGAAAAATATGAAAAACAAATAAATAAAAGTTGTTATTAGCTGAAAAATAAATAAATAAAAGCTGTTAATTATATCTATGTCTTTCTGCCATGTCAGGAACCACTCTCACTTCAGGTTGACTCTAGAAGACCCCAAGATGTTGCCCAACAATGTTGACCAACATCTGATGTTGACTTTCAAAATAAATCACCTCCAAAGTTTAACATAGTTCATAGTAATAGTCAAAAGTTGCTGACCTTGTTGCAACATGAGTTAACACAAACATGAGTGTAATTTGTCAATGATTCAATAATGAGTAATAACTTATTCAATAAAAAGTCTGTAATGTGTCAATAATAGTCAATAATTCATTCAAGAATAGATTATGGGTGTTTGGTATGGCTCAGTGGCTAAAATGGGTTGGATGTTCGAGAAATTACTTAATTTTCAATTACCTGAATGCACAAATTCCTTCATTTATAGTTAAACTTTAGGAAATCAACTTTTTTTTTCCTTGTGAAAAAAATATCAAAATTAACTTTAAAATCCAATCCAGGATTAAGTAACAACTAGCAACACCCTAACTGTACTATGTTCTGTGTTTCCAACAGATGCTACGATGACTTCTAAAAATGGATGTCCCAATAAACACAATAAAAAAAATTCAATGATGCATCAAATGTTGTCTGAGTATGTTTTAAGGTAATAACAAATGTGAAATCTGGAAAACAAAGAGAATTCCTGAATCTGTCTTGTTTGCTTTGATGTGTACATAAGTTTATTGGAGGTCCTGAAACAACTTTTCTGAGAACACAAAGATTTTTATTTTACCTTTGGCCAAGATGTCAGTTTGAAATCAGGCTGCTTACTGCAAAACCAAGAGTTTTTTTAAGATGGTCTTCATTTGTATTGTTTTGTCGACTAAGCTAAATGTAATTTCTAAAATATGGATAAATCTGATCTAACTTTGTTCACATTTTTCAACAACCAAAATGGAATTTGTTTTTTAATGTTATGGCTAGGTATAAAAAAAAACTAACATTTAGCTCTCCCCACTACCCAGTTATGTTGCTCATATTTTGAAATGTAACCGGAAGTTCTGTGTTAAGAGAGTCGAAAAAAGAAGTTATGGAGACGCCGCGGCAGTATACTGGAGCAATGTAGAACCGAGACGCCACAAGTGTTGAACCTGAGACGCCGCTAATGTCGAACCGGTTAACACCATAGACATAATATGCCTGTGGTTAACACAATCTGCCAATAACGCCTTGTTTTTAGACATAATGTGTCTGTGGTTACGGCATTTTATCGTTCAGCCTTTTTTTCTATCGTCCAATCAGATGTGACCGGCCAGACACGCCCATTTTTCTATCGTCCAATCAAATATGGCCGACCAGACACGCCCATTTTTCTATCGTCCAATCAGATGCGGCCGGCCAGACACGCCTATTTTCATATAGTCCAATCAGATATGATCGCCCAGATACGCCTATTTTCCTATAGTCCAATCAGATATGACCGCCCAGATACGCCTTCCGAATTTGGCTGCAGAGATACCTACTTGCACCAGGCCCCCAAATACCTACTAAGCCGTTTCCGGTCGGCTTTAATCTTTTAATTTGGTTCTTTACATGTTTTTATTGACTTTTTATAGAAAACGTATTTGTATATTAGTTTTATTATGAATGGAGCTAGAGGCTCAATGGGATTTACCTGTCTAAATAAAGGTTGATTGATTGATTGATTATTGGTGTTTTACATTGTGATAGTGACATGTAATGTTCCCAGGTGTTGTAATGACTGCAGAGCACAGCTAAGTAGATATGAACACTAAGTGTATTTCAACAAACCAGAAGTAAGCATACTATAGACCACAAAGTATCACAAAGTAATTGAGCATTCACATTACACAACTATAAAAATGTCTATTCCTTTTGATGGATGTCCTCTCCACTACAGTGACAAGTTATTGCGCTCTTAAACGTGATCCTTGATCTTAAATCTTTTTGAATTACTGAGCAACAAGTTCAAAATGTTGTGTAGATAAAATAGTGTCGACATGTTCATAAACATTCTGAAGTACGAGAGAGAAAAGGCACAACAAACTACATAAGATGTAAATCGCTTTAATAAAACTCAATGAAACGCAGTGTAACAAAGGAAGAGAGTCAAATGAAGCAAGTAGATAAACATTTACAACCACAAAAAAAAAAACAAAAAAAAACTGTACAACTCTAAACGGCTGGAGTCACTTCTATTTTTCCATCAATTTTTATACCTTTTTGTGATGACTGATGGTGAACCTGGGTTCTTGGAACAAGAGGGGTGAAAGAACGTGATTTTATGTTTTTATTTTTCCAAATAAATGAGTTATCGTCTCATACACATGTATGATCAGCGCTAATCTGAACGCACCGCCGCAGAGCGCAGCAGGAGGACAACGTGACCAGGAGTGTTATTTGTACAAGATGTCATAGTGGCCCGGTCTGTAGAGCAGGAAGATGCGGGGGTCTCCACCTTCAGGGAAGACGTGGTGATTGACAGTTCCTCCTTCTCCTCTGTCCATGTATTCCACCAGGATGGAGACGTCCAGGGCCTGGGCTAAGGCGATGATGTGAATGTGGTCACTTTCTTTAGACATGGGCTCTACTTCCTACAAGAACAAGAAATACTAAATATAAGACACGCTTACAGTCCACGAGATAATGGAGGATAACAAGACCCAAACGTGCTCTTCAGAGAACACCTACCTGCTGACAGAACTCCTTGACGGAGCGCCCCCCCTCGATGAAATGCTGAAAGAAGCCGTGCTCCCTCTGCAGGTAGCCTGAGGTGAGGAGTCGCAGGTAGACGACCACGTAGTCGGACACATTCTGGTCGTTGAAGGAGCTCAGCAGCTCCTGCAGGCTGGGCTGTTTCTCACAGAGCTCGATCAGGTCCATAAACTGCAGGACACAAGTCCGGTTTTATTAACCGGTCCACAGAGCAGTGTTAGTGAGAACAGACACACTTCATTCAAATCAGTCGTTTGTTTTTTCCTGTCTTAGGCAGGGGAGAATGTGTTCCTCACACCAGCCTAACGTAAGCTAAATAAAGAAGTAGAGAAATATGCTGTGAATGATCATTGATGAAAGCTGCTGAAGAAGTTGAAAAGGTTTCGTCTCTAAACTGTTCACATGAGCTGAACTTGAACAGCTGAAATTTGTTAGAAAAACAGCAGAAAAAGCTGAATAAAGCAGAATAAGCTGAAATACACAGAGAGGCTGAACAGATTAAAAAAAATCTGAAATGAGAAGAAGAAAACAGTAGCTCAAAATGCAAAAGAGCTGAAATCAGAAGAAAGACGTTGAAAGGAGCATAAGGTAAAATTATTAGAAAGAAGCTGAAATTAGAAAAAATAAAATAGCAGAAAAAGGCTAAAATTTGCTAAAACACAAATAAAATAAAATGCCTCAAAAGTAGCTGATAAATCAGAAATAAATTTTTTTTAGCAGGAAACAGCCGAAAAATAATTGAAAAAGTTTAAATGAGCAGAAAGAAGCTTAAAGGAGCTAATGGAAGCTGAAATGAGCAAAGAATCTGAAAAAAGCCGAAGCTGAACAAAAGCTGAAATGAGCAGTAGAAGGTTGTAAACGGCTGAAAGGGTTTGAAGGATGTAGAGAGCTCCATTCATTTTGGTCTGTCCAAACAGGTCTCACTTGTAAATGAGTCTTGGAGGCTCAATGTGATTTATCTGTTTTAAATAAAGGTTGAATGAATGAATTGAATGAATTTACAATGAGAAAAACATGGCCGACAAAGCTACATCTTTCAAAAAGTAACGCACAAAAACCAAAAGCCACAGCAGGAATGTCCTGAAGGAGCAGAACGTGTTGATTCATGATTTGTTGAATAGAACTGCAGAACCAGTTACATGCTGAAAAACAGATTTTAATATTGAGAATGATTTAGAAACATTCAGATTATTAATCCAAACTCTATTAATAAAAATTGAATCCAGAAGGCATCTTAAGGAACCAACTTCATGACCTTTTACAATCGGGCTCAAATCAGAGACATCAAAAGTGATTCCAACCAGCTGATGTCGAATTCATTACTTTAAAACACTGTATTGCATTTCATCTGTGGACATCTTACAGGTAAAACAAGCAAACACAGCAAATTATTAACAAAAGCAGAAAGTAATTGTCAAGACAGGATGGACAGCTGCTGTTCTTATACAGTAAATGTAAGCAGCAACATGAGTTATTTTATGGCCGATAGACGCCCAGTTTTAGACATCAAGGCAGAGTCACATCACAGAATTATGCACATTTTTGGTCGAGATATTTGTTCATTTAACAAAATCTAATATTTGCTTGACAAACATTTAACATTCATTAGAAGAACATGTACACCTCAACAGAAAATCATTTGTTTTAAAAAACACAACAAACAACTAAATTGTGGGCTAGAATGAGCTGGTTGTAGCAGCTACTTCAGATTTTTAATTTCCCTCCTTTATAATAGATTATGTGTAACAGGTGTTGCTGATTGCTGATTTTTTTTAAGTGGCCAATATTAACCAATTAAAATGAGTAAGTGAGTAAGTCTACTTCCAATAAAGAAGGATGAAACTGGTTAGCAGCAGACTTAATCCAACTACTTCCTGTTTTACTGTACAGCGATCAATATAATCATAGGAAACACTCATGTATAAGAAACAACATGCAGTCACTGACAGCAGGTCAGTGAAGGGGTCAGTGAAAGGGGTCAGTGAAGGGGGTCAGTGAAGGTGTCAGTGAAGGTGTCAGTGAAGGTGTCAGTGAAGCGGTCAGTGAAGGGGGTCAGTGAAGGGGTCAGTGAAG